AGATCTGGAGACTGGCTAGGCCACTCCAGGACCTTGAAATGCTTCTTACGAAGCCACTCCTTCGTTGCCCGGGCGGTATGTTTGGGATCATTGTCATGTTGGAAGACCCAGCCACTTTTCATCTTCAATGCCCTTGCTGATGGAAGGAGGTTTGCACTCCAAATCTCACGATACATGGCCCCATTCATTCTGTCCTGTACATGGATCAGTCGTCCTGGTCCCTTTGCGGAGAAACAGCCCCAAAGCATGATGTTGCCAACTCCATGCTCCACAGTAGGTATGGTGTTCTTTGGATGCAACTCAGCATTCTCTCTCCTCCAAACACAACGAGCTGTGTTTCTACCAAACAGTTCTATTTTGGTTTCATCTGACCATATGACATTCTCCCAATCCTCTTCTGGATCATCCAAATGCTCTTTAGCAAACTTCAGACGGGCCCGGATATGTACTGGCTTAAGCAGGGGGAAATGTCTGGCACTGCAGGATCTGAGTCCCTGGCGCCGTAGTTTGTTACTGATGGTAGTCTTTGTTACATAGGTCCCAGCTCTCTGCAGGTCATTCAATAGGTCCACCCGTGTGGTCCTGGGATTTTTGCTCACCGTTCTTGTGATCATTTTGACCACGGGGTGAGATCTTGCGTGGAGCCCCAGATCGAGGGAGATTATCAGTGGTCTTGTATGTCTTCCATTTTCTAATTATTGCTCCCACAGTTGATTTGTTCACACCAAGCTGCTTGCCTATTGCAGATTCAGTCTTCCCAGCCTGGTGCAGGTCTACAATTTTGTTTCTGGTGTCCTTCGACAACTCTTTGGTCTTCACCATAGTGGAATTTGGAGTGTGACTGTTTGAGGTTGTGGACAGGTGTCTTTTATACTGATAAGTTCAAGCAGGTGCCATTGATACAGGTAATGAGTGCAGGACAGAGGAGCCTCTTAAAGAAGAAGGTACAGGTCTGTGAGAGCCAGAAATCTTGCTTGTTTGTAGGTGACCAAATACTTATTTTCCACCATAATTTGCAAATAAATTATTTTCAAATCAGCCAATGTGATTGTCTGGATTTTTTTTCTCATTTTGTCTCTCATAGTTGAGGTCTACCTGTGATGCCAATTACAGGCCTCTCTCATCTTTTTAAGTGGGAGAACTTGCACAGTTGGTGGCTGACTAAATACTTTTTTGCCCCACTGTATATACTATGCTGTCACAGAGTAGTTGTCTACATTATCAGCCTATCAACTTGTCTGTCCCTTGGCCAACAAATGCCACTTACTTGTAATAAAGTAAACGGTGCTTTGAAGGAAGGTTTTTGCTTCATTTTGTTGCAACATCTAGAAAAATGAGGCTACTCTGAAGAAAACAAAAAGAGCTAAACTATTCTTAGCATGTTATCTAAATGCATTTTGTTTCACTGATCTTCTTAATTTATGTTTACATTGAATTTATTTTTTAAACTATACTTGACGTCCAAAGCAAGCTCTAAAATATGTGACTGTGACAAAAAAATCAGATTTGTTTTCTACCTTCTAAGGGCTCCTGCAAACCCAAGAGCACAGGGTCCTCAGTATACAAATAACTACCAGAATCTACAGTGTGTTTTTCCCCTGACAATCTATATTGGTTAGGGGCGTTTTCTACCTGTTTGCTTTAAAGTAAATCTCAGTGTTCACTAGGGATATTTTGCTAGAGCATTGGTGCTCAACTTGTGGTCCTCCAGCTGTTGCAGAACGACAACTCCCATGAGTCATTGAAAGGATGACAGTTACAAGCATGATTTCCAAGGGCATGATGGGATTTGTAGTTCCGCGACAGCTGGAGGGCCACAGGTTGTGCACCCATGCACTACAGCGTAAAATGTTTCTGCCTCTTCAATTAACGGTGGTATAGGGCCTTATTTTACTTTGGAACTGTGAACCATAATGGTGGCATTAATGCATTCCACAGGGAACAAAGCATACTTATTTGGAGTATTTGTTGAATCAGATAGAATCATCTCTAGAACTGTAAGTTTAGAATGTGTCTTGGATATAATGATTGCATTTTGTAACACGGATTTAATGTATTTTTTTATATTTTCCTTAAAGTGGTTGTAAACCTGGAAAGTCAAATATAAACAGAACACAATCTAATAAAGAACAAGGCACAAATAATTTGTGCATAGTAAGGCAGGTAAAAGAACAGCCTGTCATCTGTAATCTTCCTCGCTCTCCTATACCTTTATATTGACAATGCAAGCTGAACTTACATGTCCATGCAGGTCTGTGTTTAACAGCATCAGGGCACATGTCAAGGTATGAACTCCATCTGAAATAAAAATAGAGATAATGAGAAGTCAGGGAGCCAAAATTCAGGAATATACCGCTTCCACGATCCATTTATAACTAATAAACTAAAAATAAATGACTGTATCTTATATACTATTGAAGCTAACAGAAAATTAAGGTATAGGAAGTAATTTCAAAATAGTATCTTAACCCAAAAATTAAAATGAATTCATTCGACACACTGAAGTACTGCTAAGCTGCAATGTTTTAGTACAGGATTTGTTCTCTATTTTTACTTGGTCATAATTCAACCTAGGGTGACCACACCTAATCACTATACTTTATCTTAGAAGAAGAAGAAGCATTGTCATCCTAGGCTGCTCTCCTGATTTGAACTACAAACACTCCTCCCTCTCCTCATCTCAATTACATAAAAGGATGTACAGTGCATCCAGAAAGTAACTTTTGCCACATTTAGTTATGTTAAACCTTATTCCAAAATGGATTACATTCATTTTTTTCCTCAACATTCTACAAACAATACCCCATAATGACAATGTGAAAGAATTTTGTTTTGAAATCTTAGCAATTTATTAGAAAAAAAAAAAACGACATGTACATAAGTATTCACAGCCTTTGCCATGACACTCAAAATTGAGCTCTGGTGCATCCTGTTCCCACTGATCATCCTTGAGATGTTTCCACATTGGAAGTCCACCTGTGGGAAATTCAGTTGACTGGACATGATTAGGAAAGACATAAACCTGTCTATATAAGGTCCCACAGTTAGCAGTGCATGTCAAAGCACAAACCAAGCCATGAAGTCCAAGGATATGTCCCTAGACCTCCAAGACAGGATTGTATCAAGGCACAGATCTGGGGAAGGGTACAGAAAAATGTCTGCCGCATTGAAGGTCCCAATGAGCACAGTGGCCTGTAAATGGAAGAAGTTTGGAACCTTCCATTCATCATCTGTAAATGGAAGAAGTTTGGAACCACCAGGAATCTTCCTAGAGCGGGCCGCCCGGCCAAAATGAGCAATCGAGGGAGAAGGGCCTTAGCCAGGGAGGTAACCAAGCACCCGATGGTCACTCTGAAAGAGCTCCAGTGTTTCTCTGTGGAAAAAGGAGAACCTTCCAGAAGAACAACCATCTCTGCAGCACTCCACCAATCAGGCCTGTATGGTAGAGTGGTCAGATGGAAGCCACTCTTCAGTAAAAGGCAAATGGCAACCCGCCTGGAGTTTACCAAAAGGTAGCTGAGGGACTCTCAGACCATGAGAAACAAAACTCTCTGGTCTGATGACACAAATATTGAACGCTTTGGCCTGAATGCCAAGCATCATCTCTGGAGGAAACAAGGCACTGCTCACCACCTGGCCAATACCATCCCTACAGTGAATCATTGTGGTGGCACCATCATGCTGTGGGGATGTTTTTCAGTGGCAGGAACTGGAAGACTAGTCAGGATTGAAGGAAAGATGAATGCAGCAATGTACAGAGACATCCTTGATGAAAACCTGTTCCAGAGCGCTCTGGACCTTACACTGGAGCGACGGTTCATCTTTCAACAGGACAACAACCCTAAGCACACAGCCCACATAACAAAGGAGTGGCTATGGGCCAACTCTGTGAATGTCCTGGAGTGGCCCAGCCAGAGCCCAGACTTGAACCCAATTAAACATCTCTGGAGATATCTGAAAATGGCTGTGCATCGATGCTCCCCATCCAACCTGATGGAGCTTGAGAGGTGCTGCAAAGAAGAATGGGATAAATTGCCCAAAAATAGGTGTGCCACGCTTGTTCCATCATACTCAAAATGACGTGAGGCTGTAATTGGTGCTAAAGATGCTGCAACAAAGTATTGAGCAAAGGCTGTGACTATTTCTGTACACGTGGTTTATTTTGTTTTTTATTTTTAATAAAATTGCAAAGATTTCAAAACGAACTTATTTCACATTGTCACTATGGGGTATTATTTGTAGAATGTTGAAGAAAAAAGTGAATGTAATCCATTTTGGAATAAGGCTGTAACATAAAAAAATGTAGCAAAAGTTAAGTGCTGTGAATACTTTCTGGATGCACTGCATTTTGTAGTTTAATGCTATAGCAAGCTGATAACATTGTTTGAGATTTCAATTTTAAGAATCTTGTGAGAGGATAATGAAGAATGTATTTGCAGAAAACGTGCTTAGCCTTAAAAAATTTATTGAAGTACTATGACTAAGGACAGATAAGGTCAAATATACAAATTTTGGTTATTTGGGTTTTTACTTTTACTTTGAAGATACCGTATTTTTCGCACCATAAGACGCACTTTTTTCCCCCCCAAAAAGGGGGGAAAATGTCAGTGCGTCTTATGGAGCGAATATAAAGCGGCCGGTCCGGTATTTCTGCGGCCACCATGTCAGAATACCGGGCCGGCCGCTCAGCTGTTGTCTCCTGCAGGGCCTTACCTGTTCCTCGCTCCAGCGCTGCACAGTCTTCCCGCGCTGGCTTCTGTGACAGCCGGGTGCCCACTGCGCATGTGCTGCGCTTTGTGAATGATCCGGTGTCTTCTGGGACACATGAAAGGTCCCAGAAGGCGCCGGCCCATTCACAAAGCGAAGCGCTTCTCGCACATGCGCAGTGGGCACCTGGCTGTCACAGAAGCCGGCCCGGGAAGAAGAGGGAAGGCAACTCCGCGGAAGTGGGAGCGGGTACCTGTCAAATTCAGGTACCCGCTCCCCCTCCCTCCCCAAAGGTCAGCAGTCTCTGGTCATCCCCTTCACTGTCTGCAGTCTCTGGTCATTCCCTGCACTGTCCGCAGTCTCTGGTCATCCCTGTACTGTCCGCAGTCTCTGGTCATCTCCTGCACTGTGTCCGCAGTCTCTGGTCATCTCCTGTACTGTGTCCGCAGTCTCTGGTCATCTCCTGTACTGTGTCCGCAGTCTCTGGTCATCTCCTGTACTGTTTCTGCAGTCTCTGGTCATCTCCTGTGCTATGTCCGCAGTCTCTGGTCATCTCCTGTACTATGTCCGCAGTCTCTGGTCATCCCCTGTACTATGTCCGCAGTCTCTGGTCATCTCCTGTACTGTGTCCGCAGTCTCTGGTCATCCCTGTACTATGTCTGCAGTCTCTGGTCATCCCCTGTACTGTCTGCAGTCTCTGGTCAACTCCTGTACTGTGTCCGCAGTCTCTGGTCATCTCCTGTACTATGTCCGCAGTCTCTGGTCATCTCCTGTACTATGTCCGCAGTCTCTGGTCATCCCCTGTACTGTCTGCAGTCTCTGGTCATCTCCTGTACTGTGTCCGCAGTCTCTGGTCATCTCCTGTACTATGTCCGCAGTCTCTTGGTCATCCCCTGTATTTTGTCCGCAGTCTCTGGTCATCTCCTGTACTGTGTCCGCAGTCTCTGGTCATCCTCTGTACTGTGTCCGCAGTCCATTGGTTCAGAATATTTTTTTTTTCTTGTTTTTCACCTCTAAAACCTAGGTGCGTCTTATGGTCAGGTGCGTCTTATGGAGCGAAAAATACGGTACATGCTACAGGGAATACTGAAGCTGAATTTTAATTCCAGAATACATATATGGCACTGGGGAAGGAAAAAAAAGAATTAGATCAGGTAGTAGGAAAGAAAATAGTACAGACAAACGGAATAGGAAAAAAAATAACAAAAATTAAACCACACTCAATGTAAAAGCCTATAAAAGGGAGACGAGAAAAAACAGGATTTTTGTCACTCACCATAAAATCCCTTTCTCCGAGTTCATTGACGAACACAGCTTCTCTTCATTCTTGATCATAGGGTTTATAGTGGCAGCTACAGGAGTAGGACAGTAAGCAAAAAAAAAAAACACAGCACCACCTATGGGCAGTGCTAGTTGGTATAAACCCCTTCTCTGCTATAGGCAAGCCAGTTAGTAACAAAGCAGTGCCAGAAAAAATAGGGGTGGCTGCTGTGTCCGTCAATTATCTCAGAGAAAGGGATTTTACGGTCAGTGAAAAACATCCAATTTTCTCATATGTTCATTCACAGACACAGCTTCTCTTCATTCTTGACCATAGGGACATCCCAAAGCAGTACCTTAATGAGGGGTGGGAACACGCAAAAAAAACCAATGAACCGCAAACAACCACCTGCAAAATCTGGTAAAGGTATGTACTGACAACCAGGTAACCACCATGCCAACTAAAAAATACAGATGCCTGAAGTCGGAACGCCAAAAAAAACACTAAGCACTCTGGAAGAGTGCGCCATAACCAGAAAGTGAGGAACTCAGCCCTCAATGGCAGAAGCCTAAACCACCAAGCTCTGCCATGGCCCGTTTGTATCCCAAAAGAGAATCCGACCTTCGGAGGAAGTAGTAGTAAACAAGTAGAAACGAACTGCCTGGACCACGTCCAAGGCCAAGGAGTGCAATGCAACCTCCTCAGAGTTCGAAGGACATGAACACACAGTGAAAGCAGGACAATGTCTGTATTTAGATGAAAAAGGGATACCGCCCTTAGAGGGAAGGAAGCACGTGGGTGGGCAACCACTACATCCCTGTGGAGACCAAATAAAAGAACTGACAGGAAAAAAAAACAAAGACCCCAGCGCCAACCGCATTGTGCAAACACAAAAGGCAACATTCCGAAAGAACGTGAGCAATTTCCCTAAAATTCACAAAGGGGCACACCAGGGGTGCCACAGGATAAACCCCTTAGAAAAATTGATCAACCAAAGGAGCACATGACCAAGGGACGCTGAACAATGTGCAGACAATCGACCCTTAATGGTACTTAAGGCAACCTTGTGCTCATCATCTCATTGGAGAAGGCCAAGATCCAATTCACCAAGACGAGCTGTCAAGCCAGGACTGAGGCCTGTCAACTGTGGTAACACTCTTCCATAAGGTAAATTTTACTGACCTTCAGTATGGTTGGAATCACTAAGCCCAATGACTTCCTGTCTCCTAGAACCTTTTGTGCAAAAGCCAAGCTGTCAAGACAAACAACAGTAAAGCACGGTGGAAGATCCAGCCCTTGGGACAGAAGATCTTCCCTTTCAAGCAACTGCCAGGGGGAGTCCACTACCAACCGCACCACGTCGTCATACCAAGATCAACAAAGCCAAGCTAGGCCACCAGAAGGAATGGAATCCCTCTCTCTGCTGCGCAGCAGATGAGGGGGAAGCTTAAAAGGAGAAGATGCATAAAGGAGAAGATTATGGCTTCATGGCTGCACCAGAACGTTTGTTGCATCCGGCAGATGACTGCACGCTCTTGGAGAGAACCACATGCACACGGTATAAAGAACAGTTGAAGCACTTCCAGGTGTGGAGGCAACTCTCCCTGATCCAGTGCCTGGCTGTGCAGGGAATCTGCATGCCAGATTTTTATGCTCAGAGTGTACAAGGTGTTGAGAGCCGGTACCTGGAGCTCTGCCAAAGCTTCCTGTGCTGCTGCCGCATTCCTCGTGCTGCCCTGATGGCAACATAGGCCACCAATGTGGCAATGTCCAATCAAAACCTGACCAGGTGGCCATGAAGAAGCTCTGTCCGCTGCTCTAGACATAATCCAATTGCCCGAAGCACTAGGACAGAGATTGGTCAACAAGCCTCCTCCAGTGTGGCTCTCCAGCCATAGACTGTAAACGCTGGAGTTACCAGGCCAGAGAAGTCAACCCCATGATTATTCAAAAACAGGGAAGACTTGTCCCACTTGGAGAGAATTTCCATTTGCAGACCCCTCGTGTGGGCCTGCGCATGCAGGACTGCTTAGAAGATGAATACCATGCAGCCCAAAACCTGCAGACAGGATTGCAGGTAAACCTGCCTGTGGGACAACAGCAGCAGCATTGCCGACTGCCACTTTTGGAGCATATCCAGTGCAAGGGACACTTCGCCCACACCAATTCAATCATCAGATCCAAACACTCCATACTGTTTGGGTCAGAGCAGACTGCTTGAGGTACAGGACCCATCCAACTGCAGAGTAGGTCTCGGCTCCGAAAGGAAAGATCACATAAATAAACAATCATGGCAATCCCCTGTTGTCTCAGCAAAGCCAGGACTGGATCCAGCACCATGGTAAAGACCCAGAGCAGAGGCCAGACCACAGAGGATCGCCTCAAACTAGAACACCATGTCCTCAGCTGCAAACTGTATGAAGCGTTGACGTCTAACACAGAGAGGAATGTGAAGGCATGCAACCTCAGTGGAAAATAAATCCACACAATAAGGGAAGCCACCACCGGGACAGATCCTGCACCACCCCATAAAGAGTCGGCAATTGAAGAGGGAAGGCAGGTCCACTACTAGACGGCAGGGAGGTTCCAAAGACCGCAAACTAACATAAGTGACCCCCCCCCACTCTGGAGTCTTGGAAGGCAATCTACATGTCGAGAAAGGCTTGTCCTCAGGCTTAGCTTGGGAGGTCAAGCATGTTTGGAGCCCGCTGGGGGAGCCTGAGGGGCTTGGAGCCCTCGACTGAGAAGGCGCTTTCCCAGCTTTTGATCACGGAAAAATGTACTCTGCCAGCTGTAAGGCCCTTCATAAAGCCAACCAGGGTGGCATCGAAGAGCTGCTCACCTTGGAAGGAAAGCAACCAGGGTCTGCACAAACTTCCTGTCTGCAAACCAACACTGAAGCTATAGATCCTAGTGAAGTACAACCACCAAGGGAGCTAGGAAGGCAAGAGAGCCAAATCTAATGACACATCACACCATACCTGAGGTCCTGGACCAGGTGGCCCGCCAGGTCCCGGCAAAACTGGGGAAAACCTTTCCTTACCCAGTCCTTGGTGTAAGAGCCCAGCCCACCGAGTGAGCGTCTGGTATACCAATGCAACTCCAACACTGGGTGGAATGCTGAGTCTGCCAAGAGATGGGAGAGTCCACAACAGGGAGGGAGGTCCAACCCTGCAGGGCATTTACTATCTTGGTGGCCCCAGAAAATCTCCAGACTGCTAAGTCTATCACAACGGGTTAATGTGTGCAATGACTGTTTCCTACTCATGTGCAGCAGCAAAATCCACAGGGACACAAGGACACGGGGGAAGGGTGAGGGCAATTTCCCCTTCTCCAGGTGCTGAGCAACTGAACAGGACCAGCTGGTAGGCCAGGCATGACGCCAGAGCCGGCGTTCTTCCACCCCAAAAAATTCTCTGCGGGTCCATTTGTCGCTCATGTGACTGAGGAAGCTCAAGTCTACCTCCTGTGCTGCACATCCCTCCAGTGGCCACAGACCACTGGTATTATCGTAGCTGCCAATCTGAATACATGCTGGGTACTACCCTCAACAGGAATATTAACTGCAATACCACAGCCAAGGATCCCTCCACATGTTTGACATTTTTTTATTTTGTTTTCTCTACATGTGACGACAGTTGCCATTTGTTGGCTTTTCTACCAGAGGGTACAGACAATATGGGCAGCATAGGCATGCACAGCTACATCCCACAGCATAGCTGAAGCCTGGGGGGACTAGGGGAACTGGGTACTCAATCACGCACCAATTAACCCCAGTAGGCATGGGGGGGGGGGGGGCCCTGGCAAAGGGACCCAGGTCTAAGTCATAACAGTAATATTTTACTATGTGATTTTAGTGTATTGAGTGAATGTCACTTTTAAAATGTTTCAATTTCCTGCCGGTTCCGTCCCCCGTACGTCCCGACGCTCACAGGGACCGAAACCCAGAACACAGATGCCAGCATCGACCAGAGGAGATGGCCGGGGACGCTGCAGGGGGGACATCACAGGAGCGAAGGACAAGGTAAGTGAAACAAGGATCCCGGAGCAATGCTGCAGGTTATTCCCAAGTGTAGCTCGGGGTTACTGCTTTTGGTACTGAAAGTTTACACTCGAGAATACCGCCAGGGAGGTTAAACTAAAATTATACAATCTAGTATCGTACAAGAAAATTTTTGTGCTTGTCCCTTCAAATAATTTCGGACGAAAGCTGTGTAGTAATGATTAGATTACCGTACGATTGCTTTGAAAGTGGTATTTTTCATAGGATTTTCTGATCATGT